GAAGATGCCATTGCCGAGGTTGATTGTCAGTTTGCCTTTGAATGCGGATGCATCAATGGCGGACAGACGGCCTGCTGCTTGCAGGATACCACCGGAGTAGTTGGTGGATTCAATGGTTGTTACGCCATTAACAACATTGGATGTTTGGGCCAGTGTCAGGTCTTTGTCGCCAGTGATGATGACTTTGCCTGCTGTACCTGTGTCCATTGGCAGGTTCAGGCTGCCGATGTTGTTGGTGTTGCCTGTGCTGTTGATGGTCAGTGTTTCGTAACCTTGGTTGGCTACGCCTGCAGCGGATGTGCCGGAAACGTTTTGACCAATGTTGACTGTACCAACTTGGACGTCGGACAGGTTCAGTGTGGCTGTGTTAGCGCCCAGCAGTGTGCCGTTACCGAAGGAGAATTCAACTGTACCAGCGTTGTTGGCGTTGGTGTTGGTCAGGTTCAGTGTTTCTACTGCTTGTTTGATGTTTTCGATACGGGCTACGTTGGTGCCTGCTGTGGAAGCAATGCGGTTGATACCGATTGTTTTCAGGCCGGTACCATCTTGCAGGTCGATTGCAACAACGGCGTTGTTGTTGATGTTGTTGTCATCAGCAGAGCCGGTGAAGGAGAACGTGGCTGTCTGGATGTTTTTCAACGTTGGCGTGATGATCGGGGCGCCGTTGTCGTTGGAGTTACCTACTGTGGCTGTCAGTTTGTTGTTGGCAGCAGCAGATGTGTTGGAGCCTGTCAGTACGTCTTCGTCTTGCAGGGCATTAACGCGGGAACCACCGTTTGGTGTGTAGACCAGGCCTGCTGTGAAGTTCTCAGCAGTAGCGATGTCTGTGTTGCTTGTGAGTGTGAAGTCTTTTACGCCGCCACCGTTAACGATGGAGGAGATGACTGCATCTTGTACGGCAACTTGGGAGGCTTGTGTAGCGGAATCCAGCACTTTGCTCAGCCATTCTTTGGCGAGGTTGGTGTTTTCTGCTTTGGAGTAGGCAACGATTTCTTCGTTGGTGTCGATCGCTGTTGTGAACGATGTGGACGCGGCAACTTT